AGAGTTAAGATGCTATTAGAGCCTGGGCGCTGTGGCTCATGCCTGTAATCCCAATACTTTGGAAGGCCATGAGTTTGAAACTAGCCTGGGCATGTACATAGTAAGACCCCCATATTTATTTAAAATTTTTTATTTTAAAAAATTTTTGGCCTGGCGCGGTGGCTCATGCCTGTAATCCCAGCACTTTGGGAGGCCAAGGCAGGAGGATAACCTGAGGTTAGGAGTTCGAGACCAGCCTGGCCAAGATGGAGAAACCCTACCCTGGCTCTAAAAAATAAAAAAAATTAAAAAAAATTAATTTTTATGTATTTATTTTTTTCTAAGCTATTCAAACCTGTGTACTTATATATTATTTAAATTTTTTTTTTTTTTTTTTTTTGAGATGGAGTTTTGCTCTTGTTACTCAGGCTGGAGTGCAATGGCGGGATCTCGGCTCACCGCAACCTCCGCCTCCTGGGTTCAGGCAATTCTCCTGCCTCAGCCTCCTGAGTAGCTCGGATTACAGGCATGTGCCACCATGCCCAGCTACTTTTTTGTATTTTTAGTAGAGACGGGGTTTCACCGTATTGACCAGGATGGTCTCGATCTCTTTTTTTTTTTTTTTTTTTTTTGAGACGGAGTTTCACTCTTGTTACCCAGGCTGGAGTGCAATGGCGCGATCTCGGCTCACCGCAACCTCCGCCTCCTGGGCTCAGGCAATTCTCCTGTCTCAGCCTCCTAAGTCGCTGGGATTACAGGCAAGCGCCACCACGCCCAGCTAGTTTTTTGTATTTTTAGTGGAGACGGGGTTTCACCATGTTGACCAGGATGGTCTCGATCTCTCGACCTCGTGATCCACCCGCCTCGGCCTCCCAAAGTGCTGGGATTACAGGTTTGAGCCACCACGCCCGGCCCTTATTTTTTTTTTTTAAGACAGGGTTTCACCTTGTGGGTCAGGCTGGTCTTGAACTCCCGACCTCAGGTGATCCACCTGCCTTGGCCTCCAAAGTGCTTGGATTACAGGCGTGAGCCACCATGCCCGGCTCAATGCCAGTTTCTTAATTTTGACAATGTACCATGGTCATGGTTAACGATGAGGGAGACTGGGTAAGGATTATATGGAAACTCTGTCCTAGCTTTGCAACTTTTCTGTAAATCTAAAATTATTCAAAAATAAGAAAGCATATGGGGGAAAAAAGTGCTGCCCATTTGACTTGGTCCTCCACATTTCCATGTAGTTGTGGCACACTGATCTGATCACAAAACCATTTATCTGGGAGTTAAGTGTAGGGCAACTGCACTGATTAACACGTGTATGGGAGCACAACACAGTGTAGCTGGAAACCTTTGTAAGGTTCAGAGTATGAAGTTTTAAACATACACTCTCCCCATTCCCAACCCTCATCAATACACCAGAGACATGGCTTTTTATTAAAAAACTTTTTAATTGGTTTACAAAGGAGGCTACAGACTACATTGAAACTAATCTTTGTACAAAAGGCAAAAAAAAAAAAAAAAAAAAAAAAAAAAAGCCCCAAAACACCCAGAGACAAAAGGTAGGAAAGACAAGGAAGGAAGATACAAAAGGAGCAGGAAGAAACTTACTTAGGGACAAGATTAGCATCATACATACCTAAGAGTTGGGGGTGATGGGGAAGAGCAAGAGAGAGCATTTAAAAGCATTTATCCACACAGCCCTGGTGATAATTGGATTGGAATCAACAAACACAGCATGAGATTAAGAGGTTTTAAAAGGCAACAGTGGTGTGGACTGGTTATTGCCAGTGTTAAGAAAGAGAAATTAACTTGGGTTTTTAGGCACCAGAGATCAGAGCACCACCCCTCCCTTACAGAGGATGACAGACTTAGGAAGAGGAAGCAGGCCCTGGGGCAGCTGCCACTGGTGTGTGTAGATCTCTCCTCAGGTCAATCTCAGCATATCTTCCCCAAAGTCTTTGTGCCCTAGACTCTAGGTAAGGGCTATGGGATTTCACTGGGAGAAAGGGATGATCAGAAATATGAAGATCCACCCTTGTCCACAATGTTCAAGGGCAGTCACGGGAATTTGGAGCACTGGGAAGACAGAGCCCGTATCCCTGGGAAGAAGGCACAGTGTAATTCCTGAAGGCAAGGTTTGGGAAAGCACACATCCCAGGAGAGGTATCAACAAAATCCTCACTACTTGCAGCCCTAGTCTAATCCCATTTGTTAGGCCTTTTTTTTTTTTCCCCCTGATACTTAGCTAGGATTTAGGGCAGCTGAGGGGCAGATCATTACACCTCTACTCCCTTAGCAGAGACAAGGAAGACTGAGGCTGTTTGATAATGAGGAAAGGGAAAATGGAACAAAATACTCCTCTTTCAAATGAACACTGTGGAGAAAATTTTTCTGGGTTTGGGGAAGTCAGAGTGGAGAAGACTTAGGGGAGTAAGTAATAAAGTCAGGGACTCCCCCTTTTTCCCCTTTCCTTAACTTGGATCTAAGACAAGTGAGCCAAATTTGGAAGAGGGAGTAGGAATTTAAGCTTAAGGCTGCTTAATGTCTTCCTGGGGGCTGGTGTTTTGGGAAGGCAGACAAAGAGAAACAGGTCAACCTCAAAGCTGGTCTGCTCATCCTCCTAAAAGAGGTCTGGTATCTGTGGAGTAGAGCCAAGAGCGAGGCACCAGAGAGAGCACAGTCTCCCAAACAGAAGTAATAACCGGCTCATATTTTATCAGCTGTTTTCAAAAGCAATGTTTTCCGGGGTTGGAGAAGTGCCATATCCTCCTCCCTTTCCCCAAAGCTACTGCTGCCACCTTTCATCCTGGTACATAAGTTACTGGCTCTCTTCAAAGGGAGATAAATTCTGAGATTTCACATTTTCCCTCTCAACCCCAAGAAGCTACCCAGCTTCAGTGAGGGGGAAGGAGAGCTATGCAAAGGACCCCTCACTTGAGGCAGCTAGACTGTCCTTATTTCCTTGGTACCTGATCTCCAAAACTCTTGATCTGATCCCAAGGTCCAAAAGGCATCAGGGTACTTACAACTGAAAATTTCAAGCAAGTAGCACCAGGGCTCCCCCTAAGCATAACAGGGGCCTGATTAGCACCCCCAGAAGAACCCCTCAAAAGGTATATAAATTTATTGCATCCTAGCAAAGAGCTGCAGCTTCCAGTATTCACACGATGTGAAGATACTACAAATACAAAATATATTTTGAAAGTCAAACACCTGCAGTTCATAGTGCTTTCTTAGATTTGTTTAAAAAAAATACAATGCTTAGTTTCCGATATAGGATATACAAAAGCAAAAAATATATATGTATATAGTAGAAATAAATCAGCCATAGTAATTTACAGCTTTTGTCTCCAACCCTCCCCTAATCATAATCTTTATCCCACACTTTAATATATACTTTCTGGGATCAAAGGTTCAATTTTTTCTGAACCAGGCTGAGAAATACCCATTAAATTGCATTCTGTGTAGCACTCACAGAGTGCCTGTGGGAAGTCCCTGAAGGAAGATGGTGTGTGTTGTTACTGTTCTGGATAAAAAGTGAGACAGTCAGTGACAAACAAATGAATATGAATGGGCAACCTGAAAGGATGAGGAAATGAGTGTTTTACTATCTCACCACTCTTCTGGGCATCCCCTGCCCTGCAAGGTTTGGTCATCTTAAAAAAAAAAAAATTTTTTTTTTTTTTTTGAGACGGAGTTTCGCTCTTGTTACCCAGGCTGGAGTGCAATGGCGCGATCTCGGCTCACCGCAACCTCCGCCTCCTGGGTTCAGGCAATTCTCCTGCCTCAGCCTCCTGAGTAGCTGGGATTACAGGCACGCGCCACCATGCCCAGCTAATTTTTTGTATTTTTAGTAGAGACAAGGTTTCACCATGTTGACCAGGACGGTCTCAATCTCTTGACCTCGTGATCCACCCTCCTCGGCCTCCCAAAGTGCTGGGATTACAGGCTTGAGCCACCGCGCCCGGCCATCTAAAAAAAATTTTAAAACTCATTCAAAAAAATGAAAAAAAAAAACTCGAAAAAAAAATTCAGAATCAATTTGCCTGTCATTACATTAATTTCTATTGACCAGAAGTTCAGGGAAACGGGGTTTTTCTGTAATGAGCTCCTAACTCAAGGAATGTAGGCTCCTAACTTCCCGTGAAAAAGACTGAGTGGCTCACTACTGCTAGGAGACAAAAGAAGCAGCTACTTCTGTTTGGGGGCCTAACAAGATATTGGATCTGGAGCTTCCTTGGTGAGAACAGGGCAAGTGGAAATAATTAGATACAATTCACTCATGGTAATGCTAACGAAGAAGTTTGAGGGTAAACCAGCAGCTTTCCATTCAAGAGAAGTATCAAATTACCTTCTATAAACTTATATCCTCAGCATCATTACACTAGTTTATATCTAATAATTTCATACTGGAGAAGATTCCATTTCTTGAAATGCACTAGCAAAATACTGTACACTCCAGTGAGTTACCCTGCCCCTTTCCTCCAAAAGATGCCAAAGTACATGATTATAGACATAAAATAACAGGTACTGAATTCTGCCTTTCAGTGAGAATAAAGTGTATGATAGTGGCTGGGCATGGATGACTTGTATGTCAGCGTTAATAGAAGTTGATCTGGGGAAAGTTCCTTGCAATAGTTCCTGAGCTTAAAACAGAATTACATTTGTGGAGAAAGGACCAAATGGAGTGAACTATTGTTTAGAGTATTAAGTTACTGTATTTCAGGTTAAACAACAATACATTTACCCAAAACTTAATTTGGATGGATTTTATATAAAATATATAATAAAATCATACCATCATCTATTTGTAGCCAAAGTAAAAAGACTTATGAAAAGAATAAGGACTCTGCTATAGATCTGGATGTTGGCATCACTTTCAAACACAAAAATAGTTTCTTTTTTAAAAAAGTTACAGTAGAACATCCTCCATTCATAATTGTAATTAATTTAGCATAAGCAAAGAAATGACCTTAGGAACATATCCAGGTTTTAAGATAGATTTCTAGGTAGTGGGTCTGAAAGGCATTTTGATCTGATTTATTTTCCAACAATTTCAAATATAATCTCTCATCTGTGTGTAGACATATACAGGCATAAACACACATTCACACAGACAGTCATACAAAAACACTTGCTTTCTATCAGATCAGGGTAATTTTTTTTTTATTGCAGGTCTCTTTTAATATTGGCTAGCAGAAAACCTATCCCCAACCTAACAGATTACACACACACACACACACACACACACACACACACACAGCCATTTTGCCGTATTTCCTCACAGTGAAAAGCTCTCTAACAAGGTACCAGAAGATTGAGAGAGACAATGCTTTTATGGCTGGGCCTTGAGGACAATTCTGGTTGCATTTAAATCTCAGTGCCAAATGCACTAGGTTCCCTGCCGTTATAATTTTTGGATCAGTCTCTTCTGGAATCAGGTCATGGAGAAAACAGGATGATTTCTCCCCATCTCTCCTATAAACCACAGTGGTAAGACAAGATTTCTTTTTGTTCTGGGCTATCATTCTTATGATCATGTGCTTCCTTTTCCCTTAGGAACCACCCAAGAACATACAATGAAGTTAAGGGAAAAGATTGTTAAGAACCACTGTTCTGCCACTAGCACATGCTCTGGAGGAGTTCTGCAGAATGGAAACCTCGAACAGATTCATTGGCTGATGCTCCTTCTCAACAATGGAAAAGAACCTAGTGGGGATGTTCAAAAGAAGAAGTGTATTTCCTTTCAGAATATAAACTCAGAAGCCCACGTTAAAACTTAGAACTACCTTAGAAGATAGTGATATCAATGTCCAAATACTCCACTAACTCCTGAACCTGACTACCATGAGTCATTTCCTCTTCTCAGCACATGATTTTCCTAGTGAAAGCCCCCTACCTATTACTGGACCATTTTTTGACAGTTTATACCATCTTAGCCAAGATTATTATCTTCAAAGAGTCTCTTGTACAATTCCACTGAAAGACTCCTAATTCTCAATGCTTAGAACAGCTAATGAAGGGAGATGCCTTTGACTCTCCAGCGCCAAGAAGGTGCCTGCGTCAGTAGTATTTTTAATACTCCCTCCACAGCTACTTCAAGCATCAGCCTGGGCTTCAAGGTTTTTCCATTCTGCTGCTGGAACTAAGGTCTTTAAAAAATTGACAGAAGTGCCTAATCCAGGCACCAACAAAAATAAAACATGAAGTGATCAGATGAGAGAATGTGAGATGGCAACAGCTGAGTCAGGAAAGGAGTGCAAGAAGCTGATCCCAAATAAAAAGACAAAATTATGAAAGGAAAAACATTATGTATGTATATATAAACTAAAAGCAGAGCATATGAATGCTTAATCTGGTGGGAAGCCAAGACAACATCTACAGAAAAGCTTGATGTGTCACAACAAGGCTCAGCCATAGGGAAATAAGGCAATATAAAAAAAAAAATGACCAAGGTATTTTGGTCACAGAATGGTCTTCTTCCTCCTCCCAGCCAACCCCTGTGAATGCATCTCTATATATCTTTATATATATATATATATATATATAATAATATAGAATCTGTTTTTTGTTAAAAAGTATTTCAATGATCATATATATTTATCAAGGCATGATGGCTTTAGGAAACGGGCGGGGGGTGATCCATCATGGAAGAGCTGAGAAGAGAAATGCAGGAAGGGTAGGCCGGAGTAAGAAGTTTAAGAAGAAACTGGGGTCAAACAAATGCTCATCAAAGGGTGGCACCAACAGAATTTTCACTAATGTTTCCCACCTTCAAAGAGGCACTGATGATACAGATGGGTGCCAGGACCCCATCTCTTCTCTTGTATCCCTCTCCCAATTCTTCCCACCACCATGCATTTTAATGCTTCATGGCTCTCTCTTCCCACATGTCTCTTGGACCCATGCTACCTTGCATCCCAGGGTTGATGAGTATGGCCCATATGTCTCTGGCCCCAGGTGCCTGATCTCAGAAGCCATTGCCACTGATATTAATGGACTGCAGATCCGCCACCTGCATGACGTTGATGCCACTGTTGGCAAGACGGGCAATGCCCTCTGGACAGATGGCCTCCATGGCTACCATGTTGGTGGTAATAAGGGCTGAAGGAGTGGCAGTGCCACTGCCTTCTGAACCTGCCCCACTGTCCAGGGGCAAAGTGCCCACACTCAGGGCTACACCTGGGCCACCCTTCTTATTCTGGTGGGTCTTGATATGTTTTGACAGGTGGTCACTCCTCATGAAGCGCTTAGGACACTCAGGGCAGGCAAATTTCTTCTCACCTAGGTAAAGGAAGAAAAGAAGCTGACATGTTAGGAAGTAAGATTACCTTACCTAATTCACTGCTTTCAAACTCTACTAGGCTGAATAAGGCCAGTATGACAAGATGATTAAAAACAAGAAAAATCTTGAAGTATCTTTTCCTTTTGGTTGGGGGGACGGGGAAGAAAAGTAGATAAAGGTTAAGGAGTACTCAGTAAGGACAGTAGAACTTAGCAGAAAAGTAAGGCAAGGCAAAGACTAAGAGTAATGGTTTCAATACTTTGCCTTCAAAATCCCACTCAAAATCTAGCTCCTTCCTTTTTTTTCTTTGAGACAGAGTCTTGCTCTGTCACCCAGGTGGGAGTGCAGTAGGGCAATCTCAGCTCACTGCAACTTCCGCCTTCTGGGTTCAAGTGATTCTCCTACCTCAGCTTCCCAAGTAGCTGGGATTATAGGTGCCCAACACCAAGCCTGGCTATTTTGTATTTTTAGTAGATGGGGTTTCCCCATGTTGGCCAGGCTGGTATCGAACTCCTGACCTCAAGAGATCCACCCACCTTGGCCTCCCAAAGTCTTGAGATTACAGGCGTGAGCCATAGTACCCGGCCCTCCTTCCTTTAAAAGTTTTCTAGATTAACTCCAATTCCATTTGTGACCCATATAATTCAGTTTCAAATTAAGTTGCTAAGAAATTTTAGTTATTTTGTAAGTGTATTTTGTGTTTTTCATTCTATTACTATTTTTCTCTCCCACAGGCTCTTGCTCACCTGTGTGTGTACGTTTGTGCCTCTGCAGCTCATCCGAACGTGTAAAGCGTTTCCCACAGTATGACCAGGTACACATAAATGGTCTCTCGCCAGTATGCCAGCGCAAGTGTGCCCGCAGGTGTGAGGTCTTGCCATATACTTTCCCACAGCCTTGGATGTGGCAAATATGCTGTTTCTTTTTGCCAGGATCCCCTGAACCCCTAAAAGTGAGAATACAACTATTTATCATTCATTCTAGAGACAGAAACTAAAGAACCACAAAGTATCAACAGCAATTACCCAACCTACACCAAACTTACTCAAACTGTTTCGTTTTTTTTTTTTTTTTTTGAGACAGAGTCTCACTCTGTCGCCCAGGCTAGAGTGCAATGGTGCGCTCTTGGCTCAATGGTGCGCTCTCGGCTCACCGCAAACTCCCCCTCCTGGGTTCAAGCAATTCTCCTGCCTCAGCCTCCCAAGTAGCTGGGATTACAGGCGCGCCACCACACTCAGCTAATTTTTGTATTTATATGTAGAGACTGGGTTTCACCGTGTTGGTCAGGCTGGTCTCAAACCCCTGACCTTGTGATCCGCCCGCCTCAGCCTCCCAAAGTGCTGGGATTATAGGTGTGACCAAACTTTTATTTTCGAAAAAGGCTTCCGTTTGTTGGTTTTTGAGACTGAGTCTCTCTCCGTCACCCAGGCTGAAGTGCAGTGGCACAATCTCAGCTTACTGCAACATTTGCCTCCTGGGTTCAAGTGATTCTCCTGTCTCAGCCTCCCAAGTAGCTAGGACTACAGGTGTGGGCAACCACGCCGGCTAATTTTTTTTTTTTTTTTTTGAGACGGAGTTTTGCTCTTGTTGCCCAGGCTGGAGTGCAATGGCGCGATCTCGGCTCACGGCAACCTCCGCCTCCTGGGCTCAGGCAATTCTCCTGCCTCAGCCTCCTGAGTAGCTGGGATTACAGGCACGCACCACCATGCCCAGCTAATTTTTTGTATTTTTAGTAGAGACGGGGTTTCACCATGTTGACCAGGATGGTCTCGATCTCTTGACCTCGTGATCCACCCGCCTTGGCCTCCCAAAGTGCTGGGATTACAGGCTTGAGCCACCGCGCCCGGCAATTTTTTTTATTTTTAGTAGAGATGGGGTTTCACCGTGTTAGCCAGGATGGTCTCGATCTCCTGATCTCGTGAGCTGCCCACCTGGGCCTCCCAAATAGCTGGGATTACAGGCGTGAGCCACCGCGCCTAGCTAAGGCTTCATTTTTTTTTGTTGTTCATTCTGTTCTGTTTTTTTGAGATGAAGTCTCACTCTGTCGTCCAGGCTGGAGTGCAGTAGCATGATCATAGCTCACTGCAACCTCTCCCTCTCCTTCCCAGGTTCAAGAGATTATCTGGCCTCAACCTCCCAAGTAGCTGGGACTACAAGTGCACGCCACCAGGCTCAACTACTTTTTGTATCTCTAGTAGAAACGGGGTTAGCCATGTTGGCCAAGCTGATCGCAAACCGCTGACCTCAGGTGATGAATCCACCTGTCTCTGCCTCCCAAAGTGCTGGGATTATAAGTGTGAGCCACTGTGCCAGGCCAGAGGCATTTTTTTTTTTTTTTTTGAGATAACTTTCACTTTTGTTGCCCAGGCTAGAGTGCAATGGAACTATCTCAGCTCACCAAAACCTCCGCCTCCCAGGTTCAAGCGAGTCTCCTGCCTCAGCCTCCTGAGTAGCTGGGCTTACAGGCACACAACACCACGCCCACCTACTTTTGTATTTTTAGTAGAGACAGGGTTTCTCCATGTTGGTCAGGCTGGTCTTGAACTCCTGACCTCAGGTGATCTGCCCGCCTTGGCCTCCCAAAGTGCTGGGACTACACCATGCCCAGCCAATGCTTCTTTTTAAAAAGACTTCTAGGCCGGGCGCGGTGGCTCAAGCCTGTAATCCCAGCACTTTGGGAGGCCGAGGCGGGTGGATCACAAGGTCAAGAGATCGAGACCAGCCTGGTCAACATGGTGAAACCCCGTCTCTACTAAAAATACAAAAAATTGGCTGGGCGCGGTGGCTCAAGCCTGTAATCCCAGCACTTTGGGAGGCCGAGACGGGTGGATCACGAGGTCGAGAGATCGAGACCATCCTGGTCAACATGGTGAAACTCCGTCTCTACTAAAAATACAAAAAACTAGCTGGGCGTGGTGGCGCGTGCCTGTAATCCCAGCTACTCAGGAGGCTGAGGCAGGAGAATTGCCTGAGCCCAGGAGGCGGAGGTTGCGGTGAGCCGAGATCGCGCCATTGCACTCCAGCCTGGGTAACAAGAGTGAAACTCCGTCTCAAAAAAAAAAAAAAAAAAAGACTTCTAGGCTGAGCAAGGTAGCTCATACCTGTAATCCTAATACTTTGTGGGGCCAAGGCAGGAGGATTGCTTAAGCACAGAAATTTGAGACTAGCCTGGGCAACACAGGGAGACCCTATCTCTATAAAAAAATTTAAGTTAGGCCAGCCAAGGATGGCTCAAGCCTGCAGTCTCAGCAGTGAGGTGGGCAGATCACAAGGTCAAGAGATGGAGATCATCCTGGCCAATATGGTCAAACTCCATCTGTTGGCCGGGCGTGGTGGCTCATGCCTATAATCCCAGCACTTTGGGAGGCTGAGGCGGGTGGATCATGAGGTCAAGAGATCAAGACCATCCTGGTCAACATGGTGAAACCCCGTCTCTACTAAAAATACAAAAAATTAGCTGGGCATGGTGGTGTGTGCCTGTAATCCCAGCTACTGGGGAGGCTGAGACAGGAGAATTGCCTGAACCCAGGAGGCGGAGGTTGCAGTGAGCCGAGATCGCGCCCATTGCACTCCAGCCTGGGTAACAAGTGTGAAACTCTGTCAAAAAAAAACCAAAAAAAAACAAAACTCCATCTCTACTAAAAATATCAAAGTTAGCTGAGCGTGGCAGCACGCACCTGTAGTCCCAGCTACTCAGGAGTCTGAGGCAAGAGAATCACTTGAACCCAGGGGTGGAGGTTGCACTGAGCCAAGATCACCCCGCCACTGTACTCCAGCTTGGTGAGACTCCGTCTAAAAAAAAAAAAGGGCCAGGCGCAGTGGCTCACGCCTGTAATCCCAGCACTTCGGGAGGCCAAGGAGGGTGGATCACGAGGTCAGGAGTTTGAGACCAGCCTGGCCAAAATGTTGAAACCCCGTCTCTACTAAAAATACAAAAATTAGCTGGGCGCGGTGGCACACGCCTGTAATCCCAGCTACTCAGGAGGCTGAGGCAGGAGAATCGCTTGAACCTGGGAGGTGGAGGTTGCAGTGAGCCGAAATCGTGCCATTGCACTCCAGCCTGGGTGACATAGTGAGACTCTGTCTAAAAAAAAAAAAAAAAAAAAATGCTGGATGCAGTGGCTCACACCATTTTGGGAGGCCAAGGTGGAAGGATCACCTGAGTCAGGAGTTCGAGACAAGCCTGACCAACATGCTAAAACCCTATAATTAGCTGGGCGTGGTGGCACAAGCCTGTGATCCCTGCTGCTTGGGAGACTGAGGCAGGAGAATTGCTTGCACCCAGGAGATAGAGGTTGCAGTGAGCCAAGATCACGCCATTGCACTCCAGCCTGGGCAACAAGAGTGAAACTCTGTCTCTAAAAAAAATGTTTTTTTGACCAGGCAAGGTGGCTCATGCCTGTAGTCCCAGCACTTCGGGAGGTCGAGCTGGGCAACTCCCAAGGTCAGGAGATTGAGACCATCCTGGCTAACATGGTGAAACCCCATCTCTACTAAAAATACAAAACATTAGCTGCACGTGGTAGCACGAGCCTATAGTCTCAGCTACTTGGGAGGCTGAGGCAGGAGAATCACTTGAACTTGCAGTGGAGGCTGCAGTGAGCCAAGATTGCACCACTGCACTCCAGCATGGAAAACAAAGCAAGACTCCGTCTCAAAAAAAAAAAAAAAAAAAAATTTCATTTCCTCTTTTTATTGCCAGTAAAATATTCCCACTAAAATCTGTAGAAAGGCCGGGTGCAGTTGCTCACATCTGTAATTGCAGCACTTTGAGAGGCCGAGGCAGGCAGATCACCTGAGGTCAGGAGATCAAGACAATCCTGGCCAACATGGTGAAACCCCATCTGTCCTAAAAATATAAAAATTAGCCAGGTGTGGTGGCACATGTCTGTAGTCCCAGCTACTCAGGAGGCTGAGGCAGGAGAATTGCCTGAACATGGGAGGCAGAGGTTGCAGTGAGCCAAGATCATGCCACTGTACTCACACTTGGGCAACAAAGCAGGACTTCGTTTTTAAAAAAAAAAAAATTGTAGAGATGGGCTATCACTTTGTTGGTCAGGCTGGTCTCAAACTCCTGGGTTCAAGTAATCCTTCTATCACGGCCTCCCAAAGTGCCACGATTATAGGCATGAGCCATTGCACCTAGCTCTGAGTATCAAATCCTAAAAAAAATTAACTTGATCTGCCTGCCTTGGCCTCCAAAGTGCTTGGATTACAGGCGTGAGCCACCATGCCCGGCCAATTTTTCTTTATATTTTATTTATTTATTTATTTATTTTTTTTTTTGAGATGGAGTTTCGCTCTTGTTACCCAGGCTGGAGTGCAATGGCGCGATCTCGGCTCACCGCAACCTCCGCCTCCTGGGCTCAGGCAATTCTCCTGCCTCAGCCTCCTGAGTAGCTGGGATTACAGGCACGCGCCACCACGCCCAGCTAGTTTTTTTGTATTTTTAGTAGAGACGGGGTTTCACATGTTGACCAGGATGGTCTCGATCTCTCAACCTCGTGATCCACCCGCCTCGGCCTCCCAAAGTGCTGGGATTACAGGCTTGAGCCACCGCGCCTGGCTATTTATTTATTTTTTTTTGAGACGGAGTTTCGCTCTTGTTACCCAGGCTGGAGTGCAATGGCGCGATCTCGGCTCACCGCAACCTCCGCCTCCTGGGTTCAGGCAATTCTCCTGCCCCAGCCTCCTGAGTAGCTGGGATTACAGGCACGCACCACCATGCCCAGCTAATTTTTTGTATTTTTAGTAGAGACGGGGTTTCACCATGTTGACCAGGATGGTCTCGATCTCTCGACCTTGTGATCCACCCGCCTCGGCCTCCCAAAGTGCTGGGATTACAGGCTTGAGCCACCGCGCCCGGCCGTATTTATTTATTTTTGAGACAGAGTTTCGCTCTTGTTACCCAGGCTGGAGTGCAATGGCGCAATCTCGGCTCACCGCAACCTCCGCCTCCTGGGTTCAGGCAATTCTCCTGCCTCAGCCTCCTTAGTAGCTGGGATTACAGGCACACACCACCATGCCCAAGCTAATTTTTTGTGTTTTTAGTAAAGACGGGGTTTCAACATATTGACCAGGATGGTCTCGATCTCTTGACCTCGTGATCCACCCGCCTCGGCCTCCCAAAGTGCTGGGATTACAGGCTTGAGCCACCGTGCCCAGCCTTTTTCTTTATATTTTTAAGAAACTGGCTGGGTCAACTCACCTTCCTTCACTGTCTTTACAGTAGGGGCAGGTGCATGCTTCCCGCCGGGTCCTCCGACCAGCTTGGGGTTGGGCATCTGGACTGTTTTCTCCTTCCTCTCCACCTGCTGTGTCATCATGTATTCCATCACCACCAGTCCCATGGAGACCAAGCTGAGCTCCATGATCACCTGAAATTGAGAAAAGGGTCAACATGTGACGTGTGCAGGTTATCATAGGCATCTCAGCAATACCCTACATTCACAGCATCATTTCTTTTGAACTGACATCCCAGATTCACAGTACCACAAGTTTTGAAGCTTTTTTATGTTTAGCCATTCCATTCAATCACACCTGAAGACTCAATGAAATCTCAAGAATCATCATTGAAAATACCAAGAGCCGGCCAGGCTCATGCCTGAAATCCCAGCACTTTGGGAGGCCGAGGCAGCCAGATCACCTGAGGTCGGGAGTTCGAGACCAGCCTGACCAACATGGAGAAACCCCATCTCTACTAAAAATACAAAACTAACTGGGTGTGGTGGCGTATGCCTGTAATCCCAGCTACTTGGAAGGCTGAGGCAGGAGAATGGCTTGAACCCGGGAAGCAGAGGTTGCAGTGAGCCAAGATGGTACCACCAAACAAACTCCAGCCTAGGCAACAAGAGCAAAACTCCGTCCCCCGTCCAACCTCCAAAAAGAAAAGAAAATACCAAGAGCCAATAAATATGTAAAAATCTGATCAAATCTCACTCATAATTTTTTTTTTTTTTTTTTTTTTTTTTTGAGACGGAGTTTTCGCTCTTGTTACCCACGCTGGAGTGCAATGGCGCGATCTCAGCTCACCGCAACCTCCGCCTCCTGGGTTCAGGCAATTCTCCTGCCTCAGCCTCCTGAGTAGCTGGGATTACAGGCACACGCCACCATGCCCAGCTGATTTTTTGTATTTTTTTAGTGGAGACGGGGTTTCACCATGTTGACCAGGATGGTCTCGATCTCTTGACCTCGTGATCCACCCGCCTCGGCCTCCCAAAGTGCTGGGAATACAGGCTTGAGCCACCGCGCCCGGCCCTCACTCATAATTTTTAAAATGCAACTCCACTTATAATACATTTGTAAGTTTTCATTCATCAGATTACCAAAAGTTCAAACTCTAATATACAGCATTGGTAAGGGTACAGGGAAACAGACATTTATTTCCTTCCTTCCTTCCCTCCTTATTTGTCTCTTGTTTTTTATTTTTTATTTTTTATTTTTTGAGACAGTCTCTCTCTGTCTGGAGTGCAGTGGTGCGATCTCGGCTCACTGCAACCTCTGCCTCCTTGGTTCAAGTGATTATCCTGCCTCAGCCTCCCGAGTAGCTGGGACTATAGGCATGCGCCACCATGCCCAGCTAATTTTTCTTTTCTTTCTTTTTTTGGTAGAGATGGGGTTTCACCATGTTGGTCAGGCTGTTCTTGAACTTCTGACCTCAAGAGCAAAAGGTGATCCACCTGCCTCGGCCTCCCAAAGCACTGGCATTACAGATATGAGCCGCCGCGCCTCATCAGAAACAGGCATTTTCATACACAGATGGTGATAAATTAGTATAACCTTTCTGAAGGCCAATTTGAAAATATTAAAAATTTAAATGTGGCCGGGCGCGGTGGCTCAAGCCTGTAATCCCAGCACTTTGAGAGGCCGAGACGGGTGGATCACAAAGTCGAGAGATCGAGACCATCCTGGTCAACATGGTGAAACCCCGTCTCTACCAAAAATACAAAAAATTAGCTGGGCATGGTGGCGTGTGCCTGTAATCCCAGCTACTCGGGAGGCTGAGGCAGGAGAATTGCCTGAACCCAGGAGGCGGAGGTTGCGGTGAGCCGAGATCGCGCCATTGCACTCCAGCCTGGGTAACGAGAGAGAAACTCAGTCTCAAAAAAAAAAAAAAAAAAAAAAAAAATTTAAATGTACATCTACTTTGAACCAGCAATGTCCATATATTTATATATGGCTCTGCTTATAACCTACTTTGAACCAGCAATGTTAATATATTTACATATGGTTCTGCCTATAACCTCAGCACTTTGGGAGGTTGAGGCAAGAGAACTGCTTGAGGTTAGGAGTTCAAGACCAGCCTGGGCAACACAGAAACACTCTGTCTATAAAAAAAAAAAAATAGCCAGGCGCGGTGGCTCACGCCTGTAATCCCAGCACTTTGGGTGGCCGAGGCGGGTGGATCACAAGGTCAAGAGATTGAGACCATCCTGGTCAACATGGTGAGACCCCGTCTCTACTAAAAATACAAAAAATTAGCTGGGCATGGGGGCACGTGCCTGTAATCCCAGGTACTCAGGAGGCTGAGGCAGGAGAATTGCCTGAACCCAGGAGGCGGAGGTTGCAGTGAGCCAAGACCGTGCCATTGCACTCCAGCCTGGGTAACAAGAGCAAAACTCCGTCTCAAAAAAAAAAAAAAAAAATAGTAATAATAATAATAGGCCAAGCATGGTAGCTCACGCCTGTAATCCCAGCACTCTGGGAGGCCAAGGTGGTTGGATCAACCGAGGTCAGGAGTTCAATACCAGCCTGGCCAACATGGTAAAACCGTCTCTACTAAAAAAATAAATAAAAATAAATAAAAATAAAATCAGCTGGGCATGGTGGCACACACCTGTAATCCCAGCTACTCGCAAGGCTGAGACAGGAGAACTGCTTGAACCTGGGAGGCAGAGGTTGCAATGAGCTGAGATTGTGCTACTGTACTCCAGCCTGGGTGACAGAGCAAGATTTCATTGCCTAGCCGGGCGCGGTGGCTCAAGCCTGTAATCCCAGCACTTTGGGAGGCTGAGGCGGGCGGATCACGAGGTCGAGAGATCGAGACCATCCTGGTCAACATGGTGAAACCCCGTCTCTACTAAAAATACAAAAAACATTAGCTGGGCATGGTGGTGCATGCATGTAATCCCAGCTACTCAGGAGGCTGAGGCAGGAGAATTGCTTGAACCCAGGAGGCGGAGGTTGCGGTGAGCCGAGATCGTGCCATTGCACTCCAGCCTGGGTAACAAGAGCGAAACTCCGTCTCAAAAAAAAAAAAAAAAAAAAGATTTCATTGCCAAAATAATAATAATTATTATTAGCTGGGCATGGTGGCAGGTGCCTATGGTCTCAGCTACTCAGGAGGCTAAGGTGGGAGGAGGACTGCTTAAGCCAAAGTGTTTAAGGCTGCAGTGAGCTATGATCACATCACTGCACTCCAGCCCGGTCAACAGAACAAGATTCCAATCCAAAAAAATAAATAAATAATTTATGCTAAAATTTTTTAGACTCTCATCATCACTCAGTTGGTCACATCTGACATTTTCAAACACAGCTCTAGGCCACTGGTAAAACATAGTATCTTTTTTTTTTTTTTTTTTTTTTTTTTTTTTTGAGACGGAGTTTCACTGTTGTTACCCAGGCTGGAGTGCAATGGCGCGATCTCGGCTCACCGCAACCTCCGCCTCCTGGGTTCAGGCAATTCTCCTGTCTCAGCCTCCTGAGTAGCTGGGATTACAGGCATGCGCCACCATGCTCAGCTAATTTTTTTGTATTTTTCGTAGAGACGGGGTTTCACCATGTTGACCAGGATGGTCTCGATCTCTTGACCTCGTGATCCACCTGCCTCGGCCTCCCAAAGTGCTGGGATTACAGGCTTGAGCCACCGCGCCCGGCTAACATATGGTTTTTATACAAGAAAAATAAAGTGAATTAACACTGCGGAGGAAAAAAAAAAAAAAGTCAGAGCTGGGTGCAGTGGGTCACGCCTGTAATCCCAGCCCTTTGGGAGGCTGAGGCGGGTAGATCACCTGAAGTTGGGAATTCGAGACCACCCTGACCAACATGGAGAAACCTAGTCTCTAAAACAAAAAAGTCAGACCAGGCAAGATGTCTCACATCTGTAATCCTAGCACTTTGGGAGGCCGACGCCGGTGGATCACCTGAGGTCAGGAGTTCAAGACCAACCAAGCAAACACAGTGAAACCCCATTTCTCTTAAAGATGGCCAACATGGTGAAACCCCGTCTGTACTAAAAATACAAACATTAGCCAGGCGTGGTGGCAGGTACTTGGAGTCCCAGCTACTCAAGAGTCTGAGGCAGGAGAAAGAATCACTTCAACCTGGAAGATGGAGAGGTTGCAGTGAGCCTAGATTGTGCCACTGCACTCCAGCCTGGGCAACAGTGCGAGGCTCTGTCTCTCTGTCTCAAAAAAAAGAAATTTGATGATTTGGAAAATTTCCAAACACAGTTTTCAGAGTTACGGGCTTTTTATCTTCTTTAAGGCAAATTATCTACATAAAATGTATTTTTTTAAAATTAGTGCAAGAAACAGTCAAAGAGTTCTAAGCAGAGTACTTTCAGAAATTATACGGCCAGTAGTCATAAGAAATATTGGGCCAGCAGGGTGCCTGTAATCCCAGAACTTTGGGAGGCCAAGGTGGGTAGATCGCAAGGTTCGGAGTTCAAGACCAGCCTGACCAACACGGTGAAATCCTGTCTCTACTAAAAATACAAAAATTAGCTGGGTGTGGTGGCATGTGCCTGTAATCCCAGCTACTCAGGAGGCTGAGGCAGGAGAATTGCTTGAATCCAGGAGGGAGAGGTTTCAGTGAGCCAAGATCATGCCACTGCACTCCAACCTGGGCAACAGAATGAGATTCACTCTAAAAAAAAAAAAAAAGAAAAAGAAAGAAAGAAATACTGAGCCCTATCCGGGCACAGCAGCTCACACCTGTAATCCTAGCACTTTAAGAGGCCAAGGTAGGTGGATTACTTGAGGTCAGGGGTTCGAAACCAGCATGGCCAACATGGTAAAATCTCATCTCTACTAAAAATGCAAAAAAGTAGTTAGGTGTGGTGGTGGATGCTTATAATCCCAGCTACTTGGGAGGCTGAGACAGGAGAATCGCTTGAACTGGAGATACAGAGGTTGCAGTAAGGCAGAGAGCCAAGATCATGCCACTGCACTCCAGCCTGGGTGACAGAGCAAGACTATGTCTCAAAAAAAAAAGAAAAGAAAAGAAAAAGGGGCCAGGTGAGGTGGCTCATACCTGTATACCTGTAATCCCAACACTTTGGGAGGCCGAGGCAGGCAGATCATAAGGTCAAGAGATGGAGACCATCTGGCCAACGTGGTGAAATCCCATCTCAACTAAAAATACAAAAATTCGCCGG